TTACATTTGCTTTCATTTGTATATATTTTTATAAAGTACCTGTCTGTGCTTTCTCGGTATGGCTTAGATAATGGTACTAAAAGGATACCCACAGAAAAATTCTGAGAATCCAAATGACTAGGGGCATTTTCTTTTAATTCTCTAGGGGACGTATAAATTGAATTGGCTCAACAGTTTAGAGAATTTATTGCAAAATCACATTTATTGCAGAGAAAGTATATGAAGGCTTTCTGCTCCTTCTAATTTATTAAATTGCTCTCCATTGTAGTTTCTAGGTAAGGATGAGGGGACTCACAGGACCCTGTGCTTGTGTGAATGTCTTGGTTTACTGGTGTGGTGATCATATCAGGATGGATTCAATGGTTCTGAGAGGACATGGACCACTTCCACGTTAGTGGCCAGCAGGTGGTGGCTCTGTCAGGCTGGACTCTAAGGACCATTCCCAGTCCCATGTTGTCTCCTAACTGAGGGTTAATTGTTCTTCTGGTGACTCACTTGCTCTGGCTGACCCTGATATCAGTCTACCTTTATCACCATCGCTCTCATCGTGACTTCTGTGTCACCGGCTTTGTGGTACGTGTCTGGGCCTGGAACACAGACTGGGGAGTCCATTCAGGACTTTTCCCAGTCCTGGTTTCCTCACCTCAGGCAACTAACCTCAGTCCTCTACAGCCTCAGTTTCACAGTCTGCACTGGAACAGCGGGTGGTGAGAGGACAGACTCAGACAAGGCCTAGAGAATGCTTAAAATGATTATGTGTGCTGAGACTCACAGAAGACTCTGATAAGATAAGCACATGCAATTTCTAGTCTCTCCACACGTGTAAAGTAAATACTCACTGGAATGGCTGTTCTGTAGCCAGGAGTAGCTGGAGCATGCCTGCCTCAGAGTCACTGGTGCCACAGGGTTCAGACACTCTTCTATGGCTGGGTCTTGGAGTACTGTGGCCAACTTGGACAGATAGACTTCAGCTTTACCTGTGTTGTTGAAAAGGTGTACTTTTTCTGCCCTGTGAGCCATAATCCAGGCCTTGTCTAATGACCCATGTTCCCTTAGTTGAGCTGGGCTCTCCCCTCTGAGGATAGAGTTCTCGCACGCCTTTAATCCCAGCACTCGGGAGGCAGAGGCAGGCGGATCTCTGTGAGTTCGAGGCCAACCTGGTCTACAAAGTGAGTTCCAGGACAGTCTCCAAAGCTACAGAGAAACCCTGTCTCGAAAAACCAAATTTAAAAAAAAAAAGAGTCATGCCCGAAAGCACACACATCCAATACAACTGCTAGTCACAAGACAAAAACCACAGACAAACAGATCTCCTACCTCAGGAAGTTATTCTGGCCTCTGAGCCTCATTATGATATTAGTGGGCAGCCATGAGACAGAAGGAAGAAGGATGGGGCAGAGCTGGCCAAGTGTTTTAAAGAGTGCAGTTGAGGTCCTTTTCTTCTGCTAGTGTATGGACCACAGAGATGACCACTGGAGAGCCATGGTACTTATGTACATCTACTGCTACCTGGATTGGTAAAGGGGATTGGGATATCCTTGTAGAGAACCGAAGCAACTGTGTGGCCTTGGACACACTATGAACCCCAAGTTCCATTCCTATACAATGATAGTGACACTAAGGCCAATCTGTTTGATGTTGAAAGAATTGGATACTATCACATTTGGCACTTGGTAAGTGCTTGGGATGCAAAACCATTCCACAGTGCTATTCCCAAGCCTCTATTTGGTCCCTGTGATAGTAAGGTTGTTGCCTGTCCTACTCTACCTTGTTGGGCGATATGATCACATAGTCTTGGCAGGATTGGTTTGTTAGCCTTATTTCAGAACTCTTCGTCTTTGGCTCATTTGCCTAGACCAGACAGAGATTAATGGCTTGGCCTTGGAGGACTGGGTAGCTCATGCTTCTGGCATCCTTGGCTCATTGATCACACCTCTCCAGCTCGAAGAGTACTTGGGTGTTCCAGGCAGGGGTCTCCTGAGGCTCAGGAAACCTGAAAAGAAAGTAATTTGGCATGGACTTTCTTCTTAATTAAGGAGGGCTGAAAGCCCTGTGTTTTACTAGGCCTTCTGGATTTTGCCATTTACAATCTTAACAAGTTTCTCTGGGATAGAATGTTTGGATTGAATGGGAGAAATACAGTGATCAAGGGGAGCTGGAAGGGAAAACAAACAAATTTGCCAAAATGCTGTCTTCCTTTGTTGCCCTTCCTCTGCTTTCCAAGGTTATTGAATGTAGTCGTGATGGGTTGCTGGTTCTGGATATTACCTGGTTCCCATTTCACTCCCTGAACAATGCCCTGGTAGGAACCCGGCTGTACCTACCTTATAGCCTGGTCCTTATCGCTCATGCTTCCCTGCCTTGCAGTGATTGCCAACCACACTGACTTTCCTCTCCCATCAGGCGGGTCTTTTTCCTGTCTCAGAACCTGCTGGATATGAGTCCCTAGACCTTCCTAAGAAGCTCTCTTTTATCATTTAAACTCATGGAAATATTTTCTCTTCAGGATACCATTCTCCCATACCAGACCCTCAGTGCCATTTTCTTATATCCATTGTACTTGTCAATATTTGCAGGAATCATATTTATAAATTTGTTTTCTTCACAGGAGCTCATAGCTCCTGCCCACCTAAGTCACTTCGTGGCTGTTGCAGGTACTCAATAAACACTTGTTAGCCCAAGCAAAGGGATTAAAGAGGACTGGAAACGTTTCAAAGCCAGTATCCCTTGTTTGATAACCACATGAAGAAAACCCCTGGAAGTCAAGGGACAAGGCATTCGGCTAACTGGAGTCTCTGCTGCTCTCCAAGTCCTTTTGTCACCTTTGTGTAGTGCCACGGAGATACATTAGCAAATGCTGACCCAGGGCAGGCACTTCATTCATCACAGTGACGGACTGCTCAGAGAGTCACTTGTAGCGCTCTCTCTCTCTCTCTCTCTCTCTCTCTCTCTCTGTCTCTCTGTCTCTCTCTCTCTCTCTGTGTGTGTGTGTGTGTGTTCATTTTCTCCCCTAGATTCTGTGAAGGTTGAACCAGTCATGGTGCCAAAAACAGGCCAAGGCGCCTTCATTTGTCTTGTGCCGTTTCATTCTATTTCTTTTTTTTTTTTTTTTTTTTTTTTTTTTTTTTTGGTTTTTATGAGACAGGGTTTCTCTGTTTTGGAGGCTGTCGGTCCAGCCTGGCCTCGAACTCGCAGAGATCCGCCTGCCTCTGCCTCCGAGTGCTGGGATTAAAGGCGTGCGCCACCACCGCCCGGCTCATTCTATTTCTTTTGACACAGTCTTACTAGATGCTCACAGCAGCCTGGGGAGGAGAATGCCAAACAGCTATTATCACCTCCATTTTTGAGACCAAGAAATGAGAATCTAGCCTAATGAAGTAACTGTGGTGAAGTCCAGGCCAAAGCCTGTATTTTGTCTCTGGGACATTTAAGTGTGTGCATGGATGGTGATTTACGTATTGGAGCATCCTTTGTAAGGTCTGAAGTTCCTTTTATGCTTTCCCTCTGATCTTTGTTACGGCTGTGTAGCTCCAGTCTTCTTTTGAGAATAAATACAATAATATATGTGATAAATATAATAAAAAAGTAGTGTAATCGCTTGGATTTGGGGTTTGATAATCCCCAGGCATTCTTAGCAACCCCTTTAACATAGAGTCATAAAGACCCATAGAAGGTAAGGCCCGCTCTGTCCAAGTTGAACTCATTGCCCTACTCTTGACTGGCCATTCCCATCTACATTTCTTAGTGGAAAACTCATTTTGGATGGGGGGTGGCATTCAATGCTAAGTTTTCAGAAATGCTCTGCTCGGTTCTTTTAGGGGCTAAACAAACATTTCTCAGCTGAGGGTGGCCATCAGAATCCCTGGTAATGGTTGAATAGATAAATAGACATTTAAGTTATGATGGCAAGCTTTATCCCATGCCTCCCCATACCTACAGAGAAGGATTTGGCCCCGTGATTATTTTCTTTTCCTGAGCAGATATTTCACTGTGTTTCCGTTAATAGTAACAGCACTTCAGGAACAGTCTGTGACCAGTAAGCAAAGCCAGTCTATCCTTTACTTTTGTGTGGTCACATGTTGTATTTACAGAATAATTTTTTCCAATTGATAATTGATGGAGACATGCCATTGGGTCCCAGGGAAGCAGAGTGCCAACCTTCCTTTGCAGCACAGGCAAAGGATATTGGTTCTGCTAATTAGGCCCCTTCCCCCAAAATTGTATTTTTAATTTTGTGAAAACTTGTTTTCTCACCTGATATTTAAGTATCAATGTAACAATGATTTTTGCTTCTTGGCAGTCAAAGGCTAGTCTTGACCTTTACAGAATAGCTTGCAGCATATCATTGTCAGCTTTAGTGAGAAACTTTCATTTTTATCATCAGTCCACTTTTTCTTTTATGATTTCTATGAACCATGTATAGGAATTTTGTTGTAAGTACGATACATTCTCAGTGTAGCCTTCAAATCTACTTGTAGAGTAAAGGGGGGCTGGACTCATCCCCCGGTTAGCACTCGACAGTCTGTAATGTATCGTTGCCTACGCCTTGCCTTTAACTAGCTGTGAAACCTCATTTCACCTTTGTAAGCCTCCCATTTCCCCAGCTATACAACCATGGTAGCAACTGCTCTTGTCAAACAAGGTTTTTATGTAGATGGAGATAGTTCTTGTGAAATTCTTTGGACATTGTCTGGTGTGCAGTTTATGCTTAATGATTTGCAACTCACATTAAATTCTTTTAATTTATATATACAAATCAATTTATTTGCCATTTTAAAAAGATTGCTACCCCTCTCCCCATGCACATGCACTGCACAGTTCCATGGGTGGTTCTGATCCATGCTTATTTGAGAGCAGCTAAGTGCGTGCTGGAGAGTAAGTGTTTAGTTAGGGGTTCTCATGAGGGGGCAGAAATTGCCTTCCATCTTGGGCTTTTCTACAGTGAATCAGTAGGCTGGTATAAAATGTACACAAAGTAAATTTCTATTTCTCTTTTCCAGGTCTACAACTCAAACAAAGACAGCCAGAATGAAGGGAGTAAGTATGATGTTTGGATCCTTTTCTATTGTCAGAGTGAGAGGGGAGGCATTGAGATTTGCCACATCAAGGTTGAGCCACCAGGAGGTGCCCTAGGCATGTTGGGTTAGCCTCACTTCAGAGCATTACTGCCTGAGCAAGATTAGCAAGACTGTAGTGACCTCTCTTGTAGTAAACCCTTAGTGCTTTCCATGGTGCTCTTGTATGCATGCACATGACCTCACATGGCCACAGGTCTTATTAAGATGGTAACCCCAGTCACCACTTATAAGTTGCTCAGTACTCAGCAAACCAAGAGTCCAGTGCTGCCAGGAAGCCGCTGGCACTGTCTGCCAGCTCTGAAATGGTAATCGCAAAGGTGGAGGATGACTTGCTAATTGTACTTCCCTTGCAGCTCTTTGAGAGGGAGCCTTGAGAGGGGAGGAGATGCTGTTCTTTGGTGGAAGGGCCCTGGGCAGCCTCTGTCAGAGCCGCACTTTCCCTGCTGCAGGCCAGCGCCATGTAACTGCAAAGGCAATGGGATTAAAAAGAAACCCCTGCTGGGCAAGTGCTTCAACCTGATTATCTCCTTGGTGCATAAGACATAAGGCAAATTCCTGCCTGGGTGCCACAGGAGGACAAAGGAAACCCTCAGCTTTGCTCTCTCTGGAAAATCCACTTGAAAACAATTGAGAGGTGGCCCTGCCCTGCACTACAGTAGTGTCAGGAGATGGGGCAGAGCAGCACCTCTGTTGATTGAAAGCCTCTCTCTCTCTCTCTCTCTCTCTCTCTCTCTCTCTCTCTCTCTCTCTCTCTCTCTCTCTCTCTCTCTCTCTGTGTCTATCTCTCTCTCTGTCTCTCTCTCTGTCTCTCTCTCTGTCTCTCTCTGTCTCTCTCTCTTCTTTCTGAAATAAACACTTTGCCAACAGATTAAAACAACAGCAGCAACCAAAGAGCAGGGTCTTTGTCCCAGCCTGGCCTCAAACACCTGGCCAAAGATGAACTTCTGACCCTTCTGCTTCCCTCCTGAATGCTGAGATAACTGTGTACACAGTGCATTTGTTTATACAGTGTTGGGGTTTGAACCCAGTCCTCCATAGATGAGAAACAAGGACACTACCAACTGAGCTATATCCCCAATCCTTGCAAGAAGATACAGATAAACTATTATGTGACTTGTAATGACCACAGTTAACAAAACTTTTATGACAGGAAAACTAGGTTTCGTTTTGCTTTGCTTTCTCTTCAAAAATTGAACAAAGGAAAAATTTCAAGGAAATATTCAAGGAAACAAAGTGGTGTCCCTTCCTCCAGTTTAAGTAGATTGTTTAGAGCATCAGAGGTTAGCTAGTGAAGGGGTAGGGAGCAAAGCTCACAGTTTACCCAGTGAAGAAGCATGGAAGGGCTTAACTTAGTGATGGAGTAGATAAAGGCATAGGCTGGCTGGCAGACCAGCTCCAGGGATGCAGGAGCCAACAAGAAAGGCTTTTCTGGATGCTCTTCATAGGATACGCATCTGTCCTTGCATCACACTCTTGAAGAGTGAGATTCCCAGGAAAGGTACCATCCGATGAGTATAGCTCAGGCCCACCAATAAAAAGAACACACTTTGATAAATAATTTATAGAATATTATATGAAATGGGTGTAGAGAAGCCACCAGGATAGAAAGTGTGGATACCCAGAAGCCTGAAGGAACAGTTTCCCATGCCTGGCTCCAGGCAGGGACATAGTGCTTCTATTAAAGATGCCAAGAGACCCCAAGGGCTATGGAGATGTAGTACATACAGAGCTCTTTGTCACATGCTCACCTTCTGAGTAGGATCCTGCTCCTCTGTTTAAATTTAAACAACAACTTGAAAATAGTCTGTTTGAAATGATTTTATTGGCGGGTATGCTGGTCAGTTCTGCTGGTCTGCAAGCATTTTAGGCATATGCTTGAAAGCCTTGGCTATCTTTAGATTCAACAGTATTTTTTTAATTATTACCTTTAAAGTTAATTATCTTCACAGCCCAGTGACAGTTTTCCTTCCCTTCCCCCTCTCCTTCCAGTTTCTCCCCCAGCCTCCAGCCTCCTCGCCCCCTCCCATCCATTCCTTCCTCTTTCTCTTCAGAAAAGGGCAGGCCTCCCATGTGTATCAGACATCCATGGCACATCAAGTTGCAGTAAGACTAGGCACCTCCTCTCCTAGTAAGACTGGATGAGGCAACCCAGTATGAAGAGTCCCAAAAGCAAGTAACAGAGTCAGAGACAGCCCCTGATCCCACTGTTAGGAGTCCCACAAAATGACCAAGCTATGCAATTGTAGCATATGTTCAGGAAACTTTCATAAAGTGTGTAGGTTAGCTTAGCCTGTGAGTGTGCCTGTGAGTTGTTTCATTGGATTAATTGAAATCAGAGAGATTCCTTCTGAGTGTGGCAGCACCATTTTGTGGGTTTGGCCCTGGACTGAATGAGAAGAAGAAAAGGGGCATTGTGATTAACTACTTCAAGTTTATGGTGCCTTAACTTTCCCACAGTGCTGAACTATGACCCAAAGTTATGAGCCCAATAAAACTTGGTTCCTTAAGTTGCTTTTATCTCAGGGTATTTTATCACAGCAGTAGGATGGGAAACTGAGACAGGAGGGCTGTGGCGACAGCTCAGCAGTCAAAGCACTTGTACAAGCGAGAGGACTGGAGTTCTGATCCTTGGAACCCACAGACATGTTGGTGAGCATGGCAGCCCATGTGTTATTCCAGCCCAGAAAGGCAGAAACAAAGGATCCTGAGCAAGCTGGCTAGTGAGACAAGGTTAGTTGGAAAGCTCTGGATTTGATTAATAGACCCTGCCTCAAAGGATAAGGTAGAAGAATGATCCAGAAAGATTCCCAGTAACAACATTGGACTTCTAAGTGCATGTACAAACATATGTGGTCTCACATGTGCAAATGAACATACATGTAAGCACACCACATACACAAATATGTGAGAAGAAGGACAAAAGGGAACATGGGAGATCTTAATATATTTGGTGCCTGCAGTAGATCATTAATTGAATTTTTAATGATTTTAATGTAAAAGAAGTTTCAGACCTTATCTAGGTGTTTGATAGAAAGATGTCTTGAGCTACATTGATCATCAAATGCTAAATCAAGGTGGAGAATGCCTTCCCAGGGGATGTTCAGTTTCCAGTGTATTTTATGTAAGCTACATTATCTTCTCTTAAAGTATTTTATAGCAATAGATGTTAAGTAACCACTTAATGTTTGCCAGGTACTACAGATTTATTAGATTAGGTTGGCTGGGAACTTCCCTCCCTCCCTCCCTCCTTCCATTTTTCTTCCTTCTTCCCTTTCTTTCTTCTTTTTTTCAGTACAGGGTTTCTCTATGTAGCCCTGACTGTCCTAGAACTCTCTTTTTAGACCATCTTGGTCTCAGAAATCCACCTGTCTGGCTCCAAGTGCTGGAAGTAAATCAGGCACCACTACACCAAGCCTTGCTGGAAATTTTTGATTTGACTTGTAGATGAAGAAATTAAGGCTAGTAATCTCAGAAGATAAAATTGAGCCTATATTTCCCCCAACCCTAATGGTTGTATTCCTGAACACAAGGCAAGGATATTCTACTCTTTTGAGCAAAGACTGGAACATTTGATTCTGCCTGTTGTTATTCCCAGACAGATGTCTTGTGTTAGTTGAGGAATACCCTTGTATCTAGCAAGAAGAAGAGATAATGATGGGTGAAAACATGTGGTCACATTTTCAAGACTGCTTTATTGCTCACTGACTTCAGGCTGGCAACAGATTAGTCCTGTGGGTTCTTGTTGCCTTCCTTTCTTGGTATCAATATCCTATTCCATATCATTATCATGTCTTTTTTTTTCTTTTTTGCATTTTTGAGACAGGGCTTCTCTGTGTAGCCATGGCTGTCCTGGAACTCACTCTGTTGAACTCATAGAGTTCTGTCTGCCTCTGCCTCCTGAGTGCTGGGATTAAAGGCGTGCGCCACCATTGCTCGGCTATATCATGCCATTTTTTTAACCTCCCTCCTATTTAGGAATTGAACTTAGGGTCTTGGGCATGCAAGGCAGATCCTACTACTTGGCTCCAGTCCACACCTTGAAGCTATCGTTTCTTTTCATTTTCACTGGGCTCATGACAATTGCCTTCTTCTCCCATGTATTTGTAAAGTTATTTCTATCTAGATAGTAACCCTTAATTTTTGACACTTTTTTCTTATTTTTGTGGTGCTGGTGATAGTGACTCAGGGTCTTGAACATGCTAGGTGAGCCACTGAACCAACTACCCAGCCTTCTTTTAGACATTTAAATACGCTTCTCCATCTTTGTTTCCTATTGATGCTGTTTGTGTTGTCCTTCCTTGGTGCTAGGGATTGAACCTGTGGTCTTGTGCATGTTAGAGATGTATATACATTCATATCATGTTTTAAAAGTTGCCTCTGATTTCCTTTCTGGCTCCTGATTTTACAGTGTATTTTGAAGAAGGCCTTTTGGAGTCATATTCTGATGCTGTGCACCCGAATCAATTTGCCTTTCTTCCTCTGCCTACTCCCTCTTCCCGTCCCCCTGCCCCTCTCTTTACTGTTCTTTTTGGGGCTGACATAGTTACCTGTGGACATGTATTCTTTGAGAACAGGTTTAGTAAATTCTTCAAACACAAAAATTCCATTTGCATTTCAGATTATATGAGTTAGATTGATTTTGAGGAAAATAAACACTTTAATCTGTAATCTTGTCATCTTCTCCAAGAACTTTGAAACCCTTCAAGTTTTTCAGACCAACATCTTTTTATTTTGGTTTTAGTTTTCTTCCTCAAGGTCTTATGTGTTCTTGGTTGACTTTTCCCTGAAGTACTAAACTCAGAAAACAGTCTACTCTTTTTGTTACTGGTCATGAAGCAGTAGTTTTGTGAACAAGGAACATTACTTTGGTTGTTCCTAGAATGCCCTTAGCACTGTGCTCTCCAGGTGGTCAGTTCTGACTGACCAAGCAGGAGAGAAAAGGGAGAATGGAATTACTGC